TATGAGATTACAATGATTATATTAAGTGTGTGGAAATGAGGTACGGAAGGTGTGTTCATTTCTTTGGAATAATTTTTTTACATAGCGATCCAAACAAAAATATAAATATACAGGAAGATGTAAAATTTCACGGGCTTCCCGAATATGTCGTTACTTTTTAAAAAATATGTTCTTTTGGTAACAATATCCTCAAAATACAGAGGGAAACTTATTTTTGCCAGGGGTATATATCCCGTTCTGGGGTCAAAAATTACCATGAAAGTCATAGTCGCCTTTCGTGACGAAATTTTGACATTTTGCTGTGTTTATAATGTTTTAACAAAAACTGATGCAGTGCTGTGGAACGTGTAAAATTCTAAAGGAAACATGAAAAAGGGCAGCTTATGACAAAGAAGATCGCCTTCCTATTGTAGTATTCATTGCGTGTGCTACAACTCCTCTTCGATGAGATGGATAATTTTAAATAATAAAATAATTTTTCTTATTAAATATGATGATAGTAAAAATGCAAAATGACAGCGAAACCAGACGTCTTTTATAATTAAGATTTATTACATTTGAATCACTTAAAGTCACGCCATAGCAAAAGTTATATCACCGAAATAAGTTCCGTTATTTTCTCTTTTCGCTTCCGAAATCATGAATAATGTACATAATGTGAGGTCCCTCTCACAGTCAATCAATGATACACTAGGAAGGGCTTCTTCTTTGTCACAAGCTGGCTATAAAACTTTAATTATCTGGAAAGAATTTTGTCGCTAGTATTATTAAACGGTACGGTCAGATCACTCTCCTACCGGAATGAAACCGCGTGACAAAAATTTGATATTTTGCTGTATTATAATGTTTTAACGAAAGCACATGCAGTGATGGTTAACGTGTAGAATTGTAAAGCAAACGTTTCTCGACAAAATGAGACGTTTTCAAACTCTGTACGTTTCCTTGTTTGAACAATAAACAGAAAATAATAAATACTACTTTCTCAAAATGAAGCTTGGGAAGGACGCTATTTTTTACCCAAAGGAACGCACAGAGCGTCGAGACGTCTCATTTTGACGAGAAACGTTTGCTTTACAATTCTACACGTTTCACAGCACAGCACTGCATGTGTTTTCGTTAAAACATTATAAACACAGGAAAATGTCAAAATTTCGTCACGAAATTTCACTCTGGTAGCAGAGTTATCTGGCGGTGGCGTAAAAGAAAATAGTCTTCCGCTACGTCTTTGTCAGAGATTTTCACTTCAAAAAATTCGTTATCTGCATTGTTCCTGCTAGCTTTCTAGGTTTTAAGCACTTTTGATATCACATTACTTCTTTTGCACATTTTAATAAATTGATTCTGTTCATAAATGCTAACAATTTTAATGCATTTAACCTTGTTCGCACTGTATAATCGAATAATTTTCAAGTATAAATCGTCAGTCATTTTCGAAAAGATCGATATTAATACGAAGTTAGATGAGATTTTTTAATATTCTAAATAAGTAGTTTTTTCTTCGCACTAAGTTTATTTATTCCAAACGTCTCGATTGATAGCTCAATCTTCCTCGGTGGATACAAACATTGATTAAATTAAGTTATAACATTCGTTTCCACTACCTAGACAATTCTTACTTAGTATAAGATTACGTAATTTAAAAAGGCTGGTCTAAGAAAGAAAGGCAAAAATCAAACCAAGTAACGAGAATTTGTATATTCAAATTGTTTTATTTATGTAATTTTAATTAATTTAATTAATGTTTGTATCCACCGAGGAAGGTTGAACTATCAGTCGAGACGTTTGGAATAGATAAACTTAGTACGAAGGAAAAACTACTTATTTAGAATATTAAAAAATCTCATCTAACTTAGTATTCCTATACACATCGACTTTTCAAAACTGACCGGTTTTAAACACAACACAGGTTTAGATAAAGAGTTCAGATTATTTCCTTGTGAATGTATCGTTCCACAATAAAGACTATTCATTAGACTTAAGCCAGTTGGGAACTAAAATGCAACGACGGAAAGAAGTGCCGAGTGATAGATTTTAACGTAGAAACATTGATCGAAAAACTTGTTTGTATTTTCACGAGCAAAAATGAGAAAAATTGGCCAGGAACGCTGGTAAAAGATTCACTCGATCTTTTAACAGTGCTCCGGAGTGAGATGGTGAGATCATCTCACCATCTCACTCATCAGAAATTTTATCCTACCTAAAAAATTCATATGTAGATTTGGTTTTCTTTTCCAAATTAACAGAAAATATAAAATAGTACGGATAAGTACGATAAGCTTCATACTCGAAAAGAATAGTAATCAAAGAAAGCCTATTAACAATGCAAGCAAATGGAAAAGTGTGAAATATAAACTACAAGTTTTCTGATTTAAAGCACTCTAAGAGTGAAGTTTATGCGGCACGTAATATGTTCTTACGAACAAAAACAAGCGCTTCTTTAAGAACTCTACTCATATACAGACTGGACGTATCGTTTTTCGTTCTATATTTTTCATTATATATTTGACTATGTATAGTCTTAATTTTGATACACTCACTTACACTTTTCTTTTTTCATTCTGATGATGACAGTGGATTCTGTCGAAATATTAATGAAATAAATAAATTATGATTAGTTGATCATGTTTAGCAGTTTTGTACTTCATTACCTCACTATTTAAATCATCAACTGCTCTCTTTCCTAACTTCGCTTATAACTTGGTTTGAATTTGTTTCCGAGACTCGATGTTGTTTTAAAAGATGCGCTGCGAAATACTCTACAAAATCGTACCTAAACTATAGTTTCAGAACTTCAATCAAGAAAACTAAGCAAATTAAATGAAAGTCGAAAAAAATGAAAGCTTTCCAAAGTCAGAAATGATTTCTTGTATTAACGTTTTAAAAGTAAAAAGAACTGAATTAGCCATTTTGTAGCCCTAACTTCGCTCTATCTTTCAGCTACGCTTCAAATTTTTTCATATCAAAAGCCACGGCGAAATAATAGCTTTTCTGTCTGTTGTCATGCATTTTTTCATTAATTTTTTAAATTTCAGTAAAAGTCGCATAGCTCCATCAAAATAAAAGCGTTTTTGGTCGGATTTGTTGTGTTTCGATCAGAAATGATTGCTCTTCTCTATCTAACTGCACAACAGAAACTTCAATCATGTTTTTCATGTCTTGCTTGGGCACATTGAAGTCAACAAAGTGTCATAGTGATCAACAACAACTTACAAATGCCAGTGGCCAACGTAGGCAACTAGCTCCGTATATTGATTCACTATTTGATTTTGGCAGTTTTCATGCAAGTATTTTTGCTCCAAAAATTGTTGATAGCTCCAGTCACCAAACGACAAGTGACATGCGTGTGGATGTGATAGGTAGAGCCAAGATTTGTTCTGTTAAACTATTATAATTGATCACTCAAGTTTCACTTCCAAGCGAATCAAAGTATTAGCGAAGGACAACGATTTATGTGCGATTAAGTATTACATTTTATATGGAAATATAAAATAATCCAGCTATTATATAATCGTCATTCACCTGCTGTCAAGCGACTGTCAGGATTATTTGCAAGTTCAATTGATGATATTATTACTGGCATTTGTGCAGTTGTCGGACGAATTTGTATCACCTTAATTAAATTTCTTATTTGTGGTGTTATGTAAAGTGTAATTATTGCAATAATTATTAAACATACACTTGTAATTAAACCAACAATTTCATATGTAAACTCGTATAGTTGATGTGCAATTGCTGCGTCGGCCATAAAAATAACTGTTGGTAATCTTAATATGGCTAAAATTGTTATCAATAAAACAATTTGACGAAGAACAGTTAAATCACGTAAATTTTGTCGTTGACGTCTTGCAACTGTTACAGTTATTGTTGCCGTTGATGTACGACGAATATGAAATGTAATACATAGATAGGTAATAACAATGCAAATTAATGGAACTGCATAAAGTATAAAAATAACATATATTTGCATAGGAACATCTGTATACGCAATAAGACAATATTTTTGATTTGACAATTGAGTGTAGTGTTTTAATAAAATTGCAGGCAATAGAAGTAAAAATGATAACATCCATTGTACACCGATTAATCGAATATATAAACGATATTTTAAAAGATATTTTTTCTTATAAAAAATGACACGACATAGACGAAAGAATGCTTGTAAAGCATAGGAATGATATATTGAACATTCGAATACATCGTACAGTAGACCCCACACATAGCAAAAGTTCATGTTTGCAATTAAAAATGAACCAAATAAATTTGATGAAGTCATAATTATGACAGCAAAACATGTTAAAAATGATGCTAAACATGTATTCACTGTTAATAATATACTAATATGTTGTTGAAATTGTTGTCGATTTATGTAGACAATTAGAAATATTAATAAAAATAATAATGTAGCAATTGATATATTACAAAAAACAATAATACCAAAAATTTCTGATGTCAACATCGTTGTTTCTCTTTGTGCAAGTATCTATTCATTGAGTGTATTACATCTCCTCTTTCCATGAGATGGATAATTTCATTTTAAATAATGAAATAATTTTTCTTATTAAATATGATGATAATAATGATCAAAATGGCAGTGAAACCAGACGTCTTTCATGATTAAAATATATTCTATTTGAATCACTCAAAGTCACGCCATATCACAAATTTTATCATCGAAACAATTTCCGTTATTATCATGTTTTCTTTTTTCAAGGGAGATCGGGCACAGGTGTTCAAGGGGAAACTAGCTATTATAATTACTGTTAATAATTACGGAATGGCCAGAGCCATCGAGCTGGCAGCAAGAGCTATTGACAGTCCAGAATGCACTTATACACCACATAAATGTGTTATTCAAGGTGTTTTGTCGAATTAGTACTGACTTTGACGGTCGTAATTATTAATAAGCCAAGGAAAGAACGAATAACACTTTCACTCACTTGTTGCCAATTGCTTGCATGCTCTTGTGTTATACAAAAACAAGATGGGACACCTAAACCACGAAGAACTACGAGTTCGCTTAGTCTCTTTTCTGTAGAGGATAATTTGGACTATCTACTTATGCCTTTGTCTGTTCAAAAGTTGTAATTGATTCTATTGTATCAAGACTACTTAGCAATGGCAACTGGGTAGGGTTATTCATCATATAAATATCTAGCAACAAGTCACGCAAGAGCATGAATAACACATTTGTGCAGTGTATGAGTGCATTTTGGACTGTCAATAGGTCCCTGCTGCCAGTTCGATGGGGGGTCAATAGCTTCGTGCTGCCAGTCTTGGAACTGTAAACACTTCTTTGCTGCCACTCCGGGGTGTCAATTGACCTACCGATATAAATTTGGGCATTTATGGTAATTTCGCGTGGGTATTAGGAGAAGGAGGATGAGAACAGTGTGAGAGTGTGTTAGAAAAGTGGTTTTCACACAAAAGGTGGCAATAGCGCTACCCTAATAATTATGGGATTACATCGATTACCTCGAATAAGAGATTATTAGAACAGGAATAAAATATTCTATAAAGCAGTCATTGCCAATGCCGTGGCGAGGAATGAATTTTACCCAATATTTACTGCATTGCATTTATCAGATAATGCAAAACAAAATCAATTTGCAAAAAGTTCAAAGAAATTCAAATTATTCAAAGTTTTCGATTTCATTTGTTTACTTAAAGGAACTTTCAAGCGAACTTTATTTTGGGAACCAACATCTGCATTGATGAAAGTATGATCAAATTCAAAGAAAGAAGGTCTTAGAAGCAGTATATACCGTTGAAGCCGATCAAAAGCGGGTACAAAGTGTGATGTTTAACAGATTCTTTACCGGGATATCTGTATAATTTCGACATCTAGATTGGTAAAGAAAAAAAGATACATTCACATTCCGTCTAACATAGTACTATGCGTGGAGGTGTCAATAGCTCTATTTCACACCCTTAGAGGGTGGCAATAGCAGTTATTGACACCCTCTGAAGGAGGCAATAGCTCCTTGGTGACACCTCCGGAGGTGCCAACAGCCATTCCGTAATTATTAATAGGCCAAGGAAAGAAGGAATAACACTTTCACTCACTTGTTGCCAATTGCTTGCATGCTCTTGCGTTATACAAAAACAAGATGGGACACCTAAACCACGAAGGAAAAGGTTAATTGTATGAGTTCAACAATCATTATTTTAAAACTTTTATTTAAAACAGGAGCTTTCGATTACAACTGTAATCATCGTCAGCCACATTTAAACGAAAAACACTCACAGTATATATATATATGTTCAGTTTACTATTGTTTTCTGTTGTCTTCTCTTCTGTGAATGTAGTAGATACTTCTAAGAATATTTTTGTTCATTCTTTTAGAGAAAATAGTGAAAAATTCTACGAAATATGCACACTATATATATGTACGTTAGAGTGAGAGAGAGCGCAGAAATTCATTGTTGTTAAACGTGAAACTTAACTCAGAACTTAAAACTGGATGTTAAAGAAACGCTAATTACAATGAAGCATCAAGCTGCTACATACAATAAGATAAGCCATGAGCTTATCGTATTTAATTAAACAGCTCAAATATTCAAACTCACTTCCAGTTTTAAGTTCTGAGTTAAGTTTCACGTTTAACAACAATGAATTTCTGCGCTCTCTCTCACTCTAACGTACATATATATAGTGTGCATATTTCGTAGAATTTTTCACTATTTTCTCTAAAAGAATGAACAAAAATATTCTTAGAAGTATCTACTACATTCACAGAAGAGAAGACAACAGAAAACAATAGTAAACTGAACATATATATATATACTGTGAGTGTTTTTCGTTTAAATGTGGCTGACGATGATTACAGTTGTAATCGAAAGCTCCTGTTTTAAATAAAAGTTTTAAAATAATGATTGTTGAACTCATACAATTAATCTTTTCCTTCATGAAATTATTATCAACAAATAATGTGCGAATAACTAAACCACGAAGAACTACGAGTTTTGGACTATCTACCTATGCCTTTGTCTGTTTAAAAGTTGTAATTGATTCTATTGTATCAAGACTACTTACGATTAGCAATGGCAACTGGGTAGGGTTATTCATCATATTAATATCTAGTATACATTAAACGTAAACTACATTCTGTCATGCAAAAGAATTGTGTTGACCAGTAGCAGCGTGGCGCAGTGGAAGCGTGCTGGGCTCATAACTCAGAGGTCGGTAGATCGAAACTACTCGCTGCTATCTTTCTTTTTCGATGTTTTTTTCACGGTTTGAGTAGGTAATAAAACCCACAGTATTAGGCTAGGACACATGTTCTCAGTCGCCAGTTGCGATTCACAAATGAGACAATTCTGAGTCTCTTGAGTTGATTTTTATCATATTGTCTTTTTCTTCAAGTAATATTTTCTGCATGTTGCATGGAGATCGGATCAATTCTAAGAAGAGGTTAACAGCATGGCATTAGGAATCAGAGTTGAAACCGAGCCGGCAGACCGGTCGGTCCTCGCCAGTCTAGAAAAATTTTCAGAACGGTCCCCGTTGGAACTCTTGAATAATTTTAAATTAATGCAAACTAATTTCTGACCCAAAAAAGATGAAAAATGACTTCACATCAATTTAAGAGACCAGATTAATTTAAATTCATTTGTAGTAATTATAATACTTGGTCGGCATGAAAACAACTACAATTAATTATGGTATTATATACATACAATGACGCTTATGACAAATTTTCAGCAAAAACAGATATAATAAATTTAACTTTGAACAAATTTCATCAAGTTTATCAATGAAAAATAAATGTATAAACGATGTAAGTAAGCATAGACCAAGATCAAGATATCTTGACTCAACCTTGTTGATATGTACGGTTTTTCAAGATATTGACAGTTTGAACAAAAAAATTTCATTAGCGCCACCTTTTCATCATAGTTTTGATTAACTAAAAGGAAAATTGACTGTACCAGAAAGTGTTTTGGTGGCCACTTACTTAATAGTCTGGGATAACTACTTTTCGTTTTCCTTTCTCTTCGTATTACAGTTCGGCATTACACAATTTTCTATCCTGCCAACAGCTGTTTCGTCTTCTACAAGAAAAGCTGTTAAGCAACAACTGGGTTCGCAAAACAAAAGCTTACAAAAGGGAATTTCTGAACTCTTGTATTCACGAGTTTAACTTTTAGAACGCTTTAGTCATTGTAAAAGCTGCCAAAACTCGTTTTCTGGCACTAACTACCGTCAATTTTCCTTTTAATTAATCAAAACAATGATGAAAAAGGTGGCGCTAACGAAAAACTTTTTTCGAAAATGTCAAGCTCTTGAGATCAGGATTTTGAGAGTATCAATAATGTTGCGATCAATATCTTGAGTCAGACTAATTGAACTCTTGAAATCAAGAGTATTGTCTTGAGCCACGTCTAAATGCAAGTATATGTACAGTGCCTTAATGGATCATAAAACTCTATACGCCTAATAGATTAACATCACACTCCATCAATAATTAGTTCTGGTTCCAGAAGCAAGATAAAACTAATTACATCGTATTTGAAATATACAGGTGAATTTTATATACACAGTGGTATAAGTACAAATAACTTATTATTAATTGGTGAACAATAAACAGTAAGTATAGAAATAGATCCACATATTTAGAATTTCATCTATTATTAATTGTTAGCAACGGTATTTGTTATAATAATGAATTAGTTGTGAACAAGTTTGCAATGAATCAGGAAATTTTGGTTAAAACAATTATAAAGCATTAGTATTAATAATATTCATCATCATAATACGTTTGTCCATTATTTTCCATTTATCGGTAATATACAATTAAATTTAGATGTTACTATTCATGTTTTAACTATGAGTACTCAAATTATCCGATAATATTATTTTGTTATTGTTTACTTATTTAAACGATCCAATATTTGTATCATTTTCAAATATCGATATACCATGTGAAACAAATAGAATTATAAATTAAATAAATGATCTTCGAAACCAACATCCAACAGCATATCAACGACTGGTTATTGAAAATTTATCTAATATGATTTATAAGTGTATATTAAACATCAGTTCTTAGATTAGCCTATCTTTTTTGTGCGTACATTGGTATAGGGCAAACAATTTATTAGAAAAGCTTTGTTCATCGAAATACTAGCATGACAAATAAAGTAAAAAATATCTGAAAATCCGTTAGTAGACTGGATTTTATAATCGACACATGGTAGAAGATGAACGGTGCAGTGGCATTGAAATTCACTCATATAATGGAAAACAAGCTCTTATTGGGTATGAATATGTGTATAACCGTAAGGACCATTCTGTGAATCGTTTCGTGGTGTAATATACCATAAAGAGAAGCTTTACATTTAAGATCTACGTTAATAAACTTTATTTTTCTCGTTTTTGCATGAGTAACAAGAGCGACAACATGTTCACTACTGAAAGAAAATTGAAGTTATCAACCTTAAAGAATGCCTAGTGTTCAAAGGTACTAATGATGGTGGTAAAAAGAGTTTGATGCAACCAATTTATCAATCAATTATTTGATCCAATTTATTTTATAAGTGGCATGGATCAAGCATAAATTAATGAAGAATTACGGCAAGAGTTACATGTAGAGAAAACACAAAATGTTGCTAAATATTTGGTGAGAGAGAATGAAAACATTCTTAAATTTTTGGTAATCCAGAGGTGATGTACAATTAATCTATCAAAATTGTAAATATTCAATGGCTTCCGGATACACCATAATCATTGATAGTTTGTCTACATCGTTTAAATAATTTTCGATAGGGAACGTAATATATCGATTCCAGGAGGTCCACTTGACGACCAAGTCTACAATCAATAACAGCATCATTATCCGTTCAATTTATATTCGTTGTTCCTTTAAAGTTTCAAAGATGTTATTGATATGATCATTTTCAGTGTATATATTATATTATTTGTAGCTATAAGTTGAATACCAGCTATTTTTAATACACATACGATTCATTCACTATGGACTATAACGGCAATTAATATGCGCGTGAACTATACTAACAACTACGATTGCTCTCTGAGTTTGTTTCTATTTATCAATCTACTCAGGTTGTACAGATATATCTTTTTCCAAAATAGACTATTGATTCCACATTCATCACTTTACCTCTTTCATTCTCATCTTTGATTACCTTTCCGAAGACGAGCTAAAATTTAACTTTAAAAGTTGTTAGAAAATGTTGTATCTCAAAATTTAGCTATGCAATCTATATAGGTCAAACGCTAATCTGACTGTGTCTGACTGGTAGCAAAGACCTGAGCGATTGTTTTCTTCATCGGGCTACTAACGTGGTATCTTCTCTATTCACAAAATTCGACATTTTAGAGCGTCTCACTATTATTCGTATAGCACAGAGCTGGGCAAGTCAGGAGTTTTGCAAGTCACAAGTCACGTCAAGTCAAGTCGAGATCAGAAACGTTTTTCTCCCAAGACAAGTCGAGCCATCTCTTGAAACTTTTTCCTCCAAGTCAAGCCAAGTCTGGTAAAAATTAGGCAGAATATAAAATTGGCTAGCACCTTTTTGGGTCAGAGAGTTTTTATAGCCTTACAAACTCTCTTCCATGGTAGAAAAAGTCTAATTTAAACGAGAATCTCTTACTAGGAATGACTTGACTTGAAAAAATTTTTCAACTCAAATCAAGTCATACCTCAGAAAATTTTGGATCCAGTCAAGTGTGCATGACTTCCCAGGTAAGCAAAAAATTACTGAAGACGGCCGTCATGACTAGTCCAAAATGTCCGTATATCCCGTCAGGACCAGTCTGGAACGTCCCTTTCGTTCGTCATGACTAGTCCAGTTTTTAACAAATGTCCGTATAACCCGTCTAGATTGGTCTGCAGTGTCTCGTCGACCCGCATTACTAGTCCGTTGTCCGCTATACCCGTCTAGACTAGTTCAAAGAAAAAAAAGATGACATGAATAATTCGATAGTCTTAGTTGGAACCATTACACCGTCTGCGCAAGGAAACTAACGCCCGGACCTGAGGGACGTCTGGTACATTGTTCTAGACAAATAGGATTGTGCCCATCAACAAGCACTTTCCGGTTAGGGAAAATAATGTATGATCAGTTATACGTAGAAGCATATGTCGCATTTTGTAGAGCGCATAATTCTGTATAAGATAGAGTAATTTACAATGTTACCAATAGTAGATTCATGAAAAACTTAGACACCAAATGCAGCCCGTAGCAAGAAATTGGACAAATTGTCCTAATAATTTCAGTTTTCCTAGCGGAAAGATCTGAGTATGAAAGAGAAGCGAGGTGATATTTGAATCGCGTGAAAACCGAATTGAACGATGCATATTATAGTAAATTGAGCAAAGAATTTTTTCGAAAACTTTTCCCTGGGCTGAACCATGTAACCATGGACTCAAATTTTTAAAAAAAGTTCTTTTGCTCAGAACTATTTATTCTGAAGTTATCATAAGGTTGCAAGGAAGACCTAAATTCTTAAGCCTCAGCGAAATATTCCTCATGTATACTAAAAACTACCATGCATAAACGGATAGCGCAATAGCTCAGTTAGTTCAATCGCAGGTATGTAAAACAAAGTGTCGCATGTTCACTTCTAACGTATTTCTCTATCTTTCTTTCATTTAGACTAGACCAGACGTCGTCAGTATATAGAGCTTGGGAGACTAGTCCGCGACACCACTACGGACGGTTTTCTTTTAATTAACCGTTAAAATTTTGGACTAATCATGATGGGGTCGTTTTTGTCGTAAAGACTAGTCCGGACGTGTTAGCTGACTTCAGTGCGTCGTACAGTCCAGACGTGTATGAGTGACAGTTAAAATTCTGGACTAGTCATGACGCGGCGTTTTTGTCGTAAAGACTAGTCGGGACGATCGTCCGGAGTAGGAAAAAAAACTAGTAATTTCACCTGTCTTTTGCTTACCTCGGTTGACCTGACTTGGATTTGAGGCATTTTTGACTCGACTTGCCCAGCTCTGGTATAGCGTCCACTTTTATATTTTGTAGCAACACATTCAACGTGTTTTTTATAGAGAATTTCAAGGCACATCTTTTGCAAAAAAGACTTGCTCTTGGGAATGAAAGAAAAAAATGATGAATAGAATACTGAGAGTGTTAGTAATCTGAACCACTGGTTATAATATGATCTAAAAGATGTGATTTTCCAATTCAAAATTTCATAAGCAATTTTATTTTATTCGAAAGTTTGAAAGTACTGAAAATTTCTGATCACTTTTCGAACATGTATGAGTGCTGACCAAATATATAATATTCTCTCAAACTGAATTCACTTTTTCTTCTCTTTCTATTTTAAAATAAACAGTTTTTATGTCTATTTACTGAATAACGTAATTGCTTAATCTGCAGTTACTATGATTTCAACTAAAGCAAGAATATTAATCACCAACGATAATCTAGAACTATCTTATAGTGGTGTTTATTATATATTTCTTAGCGTGAAAGTGCGTCTCCACTACTTTTCTACCCATGGGGTAATTTTACTAGTATTTACAGAGTGTAAACCTGTGAAAAACGCAAATGAAATGCGGCCACACATGAATATCATGAAATGGCAAAAAAGAAGCACACGTGAAAAAAAGGCTCTCGCTTGTGAGCTCGCATAAAATTATAGAAAGTACGTGTGTGTACTAGATGGTCGATTGCTGCTATCATGATCACTCTTTCCTCCGTGCACATTTTGGTGTTGTGTTTTTGAATTTAATTCTCGAAAAACAACAACGGATTTTCATGCCAACGCAGATGTATTTGATGGTAATTATTTTGGAATGAATAACGAAAGAAAAAAAAGCTTCTGATCTTCACTTCTCATCGGCATCTACATATTTATTTACTGAGAAAGATATGAATCTAAAACCTATACGCAAAAGTGTTTTCTTTCTCCTTTAACCAAGACGGGATATGTGAGATATATTTATCTTAATCTTAGCTTTACAGATCGCTTTTCTACGTATTAGAGAAAAAATAACAAAAATTTTGTGAACTTTGATGGTTATATTTTCGAAGACATAGTATTACCTATTGTGAAATAAACGATATTTATAAATAGAAAATAGAAAAAGAGATAGCCACTAAAAGTTAACAGAATTCTTCTTTTTCCTGCAAAAAACTCCATTTTATTTTCAGAACTTTTTAAAAGATTTCTCGGAATAAAAGTTTTCTCAAAACCTATACTCTAATAAGAATTAGTTTTAGAATAAAAAAGACATTTTTGATAAATATGTGGAAACACGAACATACACAATCGTGACTGCTTACTTCATATAAGAAGGGGACAGCAAATTCATTCATCATTCTTACATAAGTCCAACCATTAGAGCAGATATAAAAAAATTAAGGAAATTAGATGAAACGTTTCGTAGAATTCTATCAAAACTGTTTGTGAGTAAACATATGCCAAAAACATGTGTCTGCATCTATAGAATCGGTGGATCGAACGATAATGTTTTTTCAAATATTTAAAATTATAGGCAGCGTGTTAGTCATTTCATCTTGCTTCTTTTTCTCTATTTTTTCAATGCAGTTGTAATTTCGCAATTTTTTTGTCATGATGTCAAGTAAAAAGAAACATAATAATATTTAGTAGAAAGAAAAAGAAACGATTGTGCAATTTTTCCTGTTGCATGATAAAAGGAAAAAGACTTGTTTTGCATCCTTCGGTTACAGACATGAAACGCAAAGGTATAAAGTATGGTTATTCAACGAATAAAACACTTCGATATTGTCAAGATTGTAATCAAAGTAGAATAGACAACATATGCGAAAATTGGTCATTAAACAAAAAAGGTAGATGGAAAATAGTTGAGTTATTGAAATATCGTATAAATGAGCAACAATCGAATAATAATGAAAGAAAAATAGTTGTTCGTGGTTATTCTAATTTTATACAATACAATGGTTATTTAGATAATTTAAGGGAACACCCGCCCAAACATTTGAAATTTAATTATCCAGATTTCGTTTATATTCCCTATGTGAGTTATATCAAAATTGATCAAGATAAATTAATAAAAGCATTAAACGAGGGCAGTTCATATCTTAAAAATAACAATACTGATGATATATTCGATATTAATAGTACGAGTAAAGTTGCATTAATTTACATATTAAAACCCAAGCATCGTTTTTCGTCCGATTGCAAATTGGCCTATCAACATGCATATGGTGGAAGTTATGCAGAATTTTCAACAGTTTGTACTGGTATACATTGTAATCTTGGAGCAATAATTAATGGACATATCACCAGTGATAATCAAATTGATCGCGTTCTATTTATGTACATAAATGATTGTCAGAAAAATGACGAAAATGGCAGATGGGGATGTTGCCGTCAATCATATTCAGGGAAACAATATCGAAATAGTGACAAGGAGTGGAGAAGTTTACTCAAAAAACGTAGAAGTGAAAATGCTACATTTTTGATGAATAATTATTAAGTGTATCACTCATACGCTAGTAGATTACTTTTTCCTAACAGTTTTAAAAAGAGCAAGCTATAGAAAACGAAAAACGGGAGAAAGTTGCTAAGAGAGCAGCATACGTTCCTCTATACGCTCCAGTCGGATGAGAAATCTATAGCAAATCTCGGTGAAATCTTCAGGAAACGTTCCCGATGAGTTCTCAAATTTAATAGCATCTAAATTTATTATTTGGATGAGGGATGTGTATCTTTTCCACAAGAATTTTACCATGCCACAGAAATTCTACAATATTATCTACACCATTAAATTCGAACATTTACACAGGAATTTGACTCTTCTGTGACTGAAAAGATAGGCATTCCTAGCTCAATAACAAATTTAGATCTCATTAAACCTGAGAAGTTGTTCTACGAGAAGGCAAAACGACTATTTTCATTGCAAGACTTTCATGAACTCTCGTTCTACAAAACGGAAAATCCAATGTCTGTTAGAAATAGATGAAATCTCGCCAATCTATAGAATCGGATGTGCCTAGCACACCGAAAAAGTTTAAAATTCTCGTGAAAAAAGTAGAGTCACTTTTTTGCTGAAATCCCGATACTGCTACAATTTGACGATCTTTAGGTACAATTAATATAGGATAAAGATGTGTTCACAATAACATATTTAATGAAAATACAGAACTCTTATTTTAACGGAGTTATATTTCTCTACTTGGTGATAATAAATTTGGTTGACAAGTGCACATAGATTTTATTAGCGAATAGAAGATATTGTTTGTAGTGGCAATGAAAACAAAAACTGTCTCTAAAGTACATAGTAAAAAAAACGAATCTTTATAAAAACCATTGCGAATCTTCTAAGAAAGACTTGCATTTTGAGGGTAAACACACAATGTTTTCGTACCATTCCGATGATTTGTTTGCCCGTGACAGTTAATCCTCCTGCAAGAATTATCCCTAAATAACCGATAATACCCACTATTTATATTAAATGACAACCATTCAATTGTTTTTGTGAAACGGCTCTCCATGGATTGCTAAAATTTCTCTCTAAATTTCTCATTCCATTAACAAATGGTACTTTTACTATTATCACAATGATTCAACAACAAGTCGATAATGAAAATCAAAAACAAACTTTAGAAATAACTACAAATTGACGTGAACAAGATCAACAAATAACAAGTTGATGAATTAGAACGTGAAACAATTATCTTGAAAAAACTGAACAAGTTATGCCTGAAGGATGAATAGCATCAGGCAGACGAAGCAACGGCATGCACAATCACAAATTGATCGTCAGCGTCTGTAATTAATCTGAACTGTAGTCTTCTTCTCTTCCTTAATACATCTCTAAACAAATACACAAAGTACCCATCTCCTGCAGAAAGTTTATGTCTACACAAGATCTGTCAAGTTTCTTGATCTTAAAGAATGTTCAACAATCCTTGTCAAGATCTCGTCAAGTTTTTTTGAGGAATCTACCTACAAAAATCGTGATCAAGATCTTGACAAGATGTGAAAACTTTTCTGTAATTAATTTATCTAGTCAAAATCTTTGCTAACAAAGAAAGTTAGCAATCATTTTGATTACGACATGACTCAGAGGTTCGACAAAAATGTAAATATGCCAGCTTTGCATTTATTTATAATTATTGTAGGACTACACTCTAGAGAACTTCCTCCAGTGTATTGTAAGACTACAGTGTAGAGGACTCCTCCAGAATTGCTCGTGCACTTTCAACAGCTCTGGTACTGTATGCATATTACCGTAGAGCTTTCACTGTAGTGAAAAATGAAAATATAAGGTTGAAAATAAAGTTTAAGATTTTCTTTCAAATTCCCAAATCTGTTAATGAAGATTCTGATTATTGCTTATTAAATGAATCATTTCAAAATTCTTGAAATATCTTGACAAGATCTGCTCAAGATTTATCATGGCAGATTCTGATAGTAAGAATGAAATATACTATGAAAAATCGCATTGACTGTGTCAGCTCCTTCAGAGACTCAGAACGAAACTATAAGCCCGCAGTCGGATTCGCCTTGAAATTCTACATATACCACCCTAATTTCATCAAGTTTGAATCCGGGTCGAGACTGCACATCATTTTCTAATAGATGCGATTCAAGCATCAATGTATGCTACAAACGTTGGTTGACACTATTTTAATATTTGTTCTTTTATAGAGTCAAAATAATGAAAATCTATATATTTTCTTCGATATTGCTGCTTTTACGTATTGAAATTAGTTTAACGTGCAGCTGTGTTAGAAAACCATTTGAATATGAGTATCTTAGAACAAATTACATTTTTATTGGTACAGTTGTTGATATAACCAGTAGTCTCGTCAATAGTGCAGAAGGACTTGTAGTTCAGTTTCGTGTAAATGAAAACTTCAAAGCCAATTTTGGAAATTTAGATAATACAATTTTTGCTTCTACAGCTCTCAATAAAGGTGCATGTGGTTTATCTGTCGAGGTAGGTCAACAGTGGCAGATTTGGGCAAATATTTACCAAGAAACGCCTTTTCGTAATCTACATTATTGTTCAAAAAGTACAACATTAATTGATAATCATAAAGGAAAATTGAAAAAGTGTCGTGATTTATGTGGTCGATTATATTGATGCGATTGATTCATTATAAACAGATAACAAGACTTGCTCACTATTACTGAAACTGACCCCGTTTATGTACGTTATAATAGCAGTAATTATAGAGAACTTCGTGGCATATGATAGTTTAAATTGTAGAGTTTAATTTATTACTGAAGTACGTCCTCAAAATATTTCGATGCACTTACTTTTTTTTTTCAGTGCAAAACATAAATTTCTCATAATGTTGGCGGATTATCTAGAGGATACAAACAATTCGTCGTCGCATAAGTTTTCAGAAAGGAAACATTATGCGAGCACATATGTCAGCACCCAACTCTGATCTAGATTAGTCGAGGGTTATTCATCATATTAATATCTAGTATACATTAAACCTAAACTACATTCTCTCATGCAAAAGAATTGTGTTGACCAGTAGCAGCGTGGCGCAGTGGAAGCGTGCTGGGCTCATAACTCAGAGGTCGGTAGATCGAAACTACTCGCTGCTATCTTTCTTTTTTGATGTTTTTGTCACGGTTTGAGTAGGTAGTGAAACCCACAGTATTAGGCTAGGACACATGTTCTCAGTCGCCAGTTGCGATTCACAAATGAGACAATTCTGAGTCTCTTGAGTTGATTTTTATCATATTGCCTTTTTCTTCAAGAAATATTTTCTGCATGTTGCATGGAGATCGGATCAATTCTAAGAAGAGGTTAACAGCATGGCATTAGGAATCAGAGTTGAAACCGAGCCGGCAGACCGGTCGGTCCTCGCCAGTCTAGAAAAATTTTCAGAACGGCCCCCGTTGGAACTTTTGAATAGTTTTAAATTAATGCAAACTAATTTCTGACCCAAAAAAGATGAAAAATGACTTCACATCAATTTAAGAGACCAGATTAATTTAAATTCATTTGTAGTAATTAGATGTTATTGATATGATCATTTTCAGTGTATATATTATATTATTTGTAGCTATGAGTTGAATACCAGCTATTTTTAATACACATACGATTCATTCACTATGGACTATAACGGCAATTAATATGCGCATGACCTATACTAACAACTACGATTGCTCTCTGAGTTTGTTTCTATTTATCAATCTACTCAGGTTGTACAGATATATCTTTTTCCAAAATAGACTATTGAGATTCCACATTCATCACTTTACCTCTTTCATTCTCATCTTTGATTACCTTTCCGAGGACGAGCTAAAATTTAACTTTAAAAGTTGTTAGATATCTCCAAATTTAGCTATGCAATCTATATAGGTCAAAAGCTAATCTGACTGTGTCTGACTGGTAGCAAAGACCTGAGCGATTGTTTTGTCCATCGAGCTACTAACGTGGTATCTTCTCTATTCACAAAATTCGACATTTTAGAGCGTCTCACTATTATTCGTATAGCACAGAGCTGGGCAAGTCAGGGGTTTTGTAAGTCACAAGTCTCGTCAAGTCAAGTCGAGATCAGAAACGTTTTTCTCCCAAGACAAGTGAAGCCATCTCTTGAAATGTTTTCCTCCAAGTCAAGCCAAGTCTGGTAAAAATTAGGCAGAATATAAAAGTGGCTAGCACCTTTTTGGGTCAGAGAGTTTTTATAGCCTTACAAACTCTCTTCCATGGTAGAAAAAGTCTAATTTAAACGGGAATCTCTTACTAGGAATGACGTGACTTGAAAAAATTTTTCAACTCAAATCAAGTCATACCTCAGAAAATTTTGGATCCAGTCAAGTGAGCATGACTTCCCAGGTAAGCAAAAAATTACTGAAGACGGCCGTCATGACTAGTCCAAAATGTCCGTATATCCCGTCAGGACCAGTCTGGAACGTCCCTTTCGTTCGTCATGACTAGTCCAGTTTTTAACAAATGTCCGTATTACCCG